CTTATTGTGTTAATCATTTAATAATATATGTATATTACATCGTCACACTGTAGACCTTAAAGTTACATAATTTTATGTCAATTATAGCTCAGTAAACCTGGTAGGGGTTAGAAAAGGAGCTTTAAAATCAGACCTAACTCCTTTAATTTACATCTAGATCTCTGTATCCTTCCAATTTTGCCTAAGACTTTAACAATTCCTCCAACAGGGAGATAGAAATAACCTCCTAGAATAGCAGATATTAATGTGTTAAACCAGGTATCTTCTGGTTGGGAAATTAGACCTAGATGAAAAAATAAATCACAGATAATTTCATTAACATTTAGAATGAGCAATCAATTTTACACTTTCAAAATGGCACCCGAGTAACAGGAGAACAGAAAAGTAAGGCAGGAGCCAATCAGGAAGGGTTAAAATAAGCGTTCAGGGCCTAGTAAGATGGATACAGAAGAGAGAACACTGTACAAATATTTAGGAAATCTCAGGGAAGGTTGTCATAATCAAGATGAAATATTCTGAATCTCTAATCGTGACTGTGTAAGTACCTCTCTGTATATATGTCAGAACTTCCTGTAAGAAATGACTTTGCCAGACTTTCTAAAATCACTCTCTGTACTTTAAGAATATTAAGTATATGGCAGAAAAAAATTGGAGAGAAATTGTTCAAAATAAATACACTGGCCATAAATTGTCCACATGTTGAAGAGTTCACTCTGTAGAAATCAAAGAAATGAAAACAATATTGCATTTTTATTCTCTGTATAGTATTTTTAAAATGACTACAGGGCAGTTTAGCAAATGAGCTCACTTGATGCTTGGTTAAACACAAACTGGACAACCACTTTTGGAAAACAGTTTGACAACAGGATTTATGAGGCCTGCACAATGGTCAGTAATTTTACTTCTGGGTTTTTACCCTACGGTTGAGGAGAAAAAGGATATTGACAGATATGTCTGTGCCACATAGTGGGAAAAATGAAATGAGCCTGACCTACACTTTCCAGAGTAGTAGGAAAAGTAATAGCCATGGACACAGCTATTGTAACTTGTTAGTATAAATATTTAAGTAAACACAAATTGAAAAAATAACAATGAAAAAGACAATATTGACAGATTTTAAGTAGCTTTATTTTTGTATAACCTAGATCTTAGCATTTTAAAATAATATAAGCAATAATTAACAAAAGCATCCATATTGGTTATACCCGTATCTGATTTTTTTTCCCCATCCTTCTGTGAATTCTCTCCAAATGTCACTCTTAAATAAAGTCCTTGAATACCTCTGGACTTCAGGGATGATAGTCAGAGACTTGGGACCAGCCAAGATCCCCAGTAGAAGACTAGGAATAAAAAAGTCTTATCTAGTCCCGGGAAGGAGAATGAAATAAGGAGTGACAACTACTCCCTTGGAGGGTAATTCAAGATCCAGAGGGCAGGTGCAGTTCTCTTCATGCAACCCTTGGGAAGTAACTGGCTATTTTCAGTACCTGGATAAAGAGGGGACACAGAAGAAAATATTGAAGAGGTCAGGGCCATGGCTTCTCCTTGACCATGAACTAAATCCATCCAAGCATCCAGACAAGAGGTGACCACTGTAAGGAACAGAGCCTAGAGCTCTGTGGACAGCACTCAAATGGGTACATACATTGTAAACACGATGGCAAAGTCACTTGGAATCAGACTTCAGTTTTTGGAAACTACATATGTCATTTGATCCATCCAGAGCTTATTTTCACAGTTCTAATCAAAAGTAGAAGAAATAAGTTGAGTATAAATCGGACGGGGTTATGAATCGAGGAGGAGAAACCCCAGGCTAGCGAGCTTTGCCGAGCACTCCCCATTGGCACATGAAAGACTGAACTACTTCATCCTGATTGCACCTCTTGTCTTTTGCTCCACAGTCAGGCAACCGTCCGTCTACCTCAACCACATCTCTTATCAGCAGGTCTCTTTCATTGTTTTTATCCATGTTTAAAAGGCTATTCATACAGTTGGGAAAGAAGAACATGGAGTTACTAAGGTCATATGAAAATAGCAGTGCCTGTGTTCTATGGCAGGGGGCAAAAACAGACGGAGGTTTAGGTAAGGAGGAAATACAATGCCTATTCCAGAGACCAGGTGTCCTAACACTTCATCTTCCGTGTGTGTGCAGACACATCCACAAACAGTTCATTGTAATATACGAAGCAACTAAGGTAGCTATCACTCCCTGCATTTCACAGGCAGTGTAATCCTCTGCTTGCTCTGCTGTTTGCCAGTCTAAGTCACAGAGCCAGAAACAGTATTTGAACTAATTGTGTCTTCCTTCTGACTCTACTAACTCATGTTTTTCACCACAACAGAACATCTCAGGAACTTCAGACTCACCATCAGAATACCTCTTCCAGGACTTGCAGGCATGTCCGTGGTGTCCAGGTAAGGTTGCCCTTATGTGACTGATACGGAAAATGTCACTTTTTCTAGAACATTCCAGGGAAACATGGTTTAGATGCCACAACCTAGTTCAAACCACTGCTTAAGATGCCAATTATCAACTGGGTGGATTTTATGTTTATACATTTGTTCACGTTCTTTGTCCCAGCCTAAAACTCAGTTACAATTTCATTGACTGGGGTCTGGCACAAATCAAAGTCAGAAATCTGTGTTTAATTCCATCCCATGAACTTTTTTTTTTTTAATGATAAGTAGCCCCTGCTTTTACCTACCCTGACTTTGAGTAATTAGGCTCCTTTCTGTTTTAGGATGGTGGTCTATCACAGTATTTTTAGAGAACACTTCAGATATTCTCCCTTTTCTGAGAAAAAAAAAAAGCAGCTAGTGTTCCCCATAAATCCTATCATCTGTACTTCCTAGACTTTTGAGGAATCTTCAAAGATGCCCCACATGATAGTGAAACAAAGGAAACTGTTCCAATTTGTAGAATTTAAATTTATGGTCTACCCTCCATCCCATAGAAAAGACTAAGAATTTGAAGGAAAGGAGGCTGTTGCCATGTGCCAAGAGCCTCATCCTCGCTTCACTTGTTTTTTTTTTTTAACATTTTTTATTGATTTATAATCATTTTACAATGTTATGTCAAATTCCAGTGTAGAGCACAATATACATGAACATGTATATATTCATTGTCACATTTTTTTTCTCTGTGAGTTACCATAAGATCTTGTATATATTTCCCTGTGCTATACAGTATAATCTTGTTCTTTATCCTTACCCTTTGCAGCTGATAGTCTCCCCATTCTTCATAAGAAAAAGACTGAGACTTCAATAGGTTAGGCAATTACCCACACACAGGGTTAGATGGTCTGGCATGGGAAACCTGGTTTTGCCCTCTGTTGGATGGCAAAGCTGGTGCCCTAAGCTGCCTCTGTGATTCTTCTGCCTCCTGTCCTTGCCCTTTCCTATCTTATCCTGTAGATTCACAGAACCTTTACATTTGATCCCCGAGGAAGTAACTTCACACGTGTCATCATTTATTGTCACATTCAAGTACTCAAGTCACAGAACTGCTGAAGTCAGAGTTAATATAAAAGAACACTTGTGAACCATTTTAAAGTTCACAGAACTTTTTCTTTTAACGCCCACTCAATGCCTGACCCAGAAGTAAGCAAACTCGTAAAAAATCTAAAATTGTGTGTTGGAACCTGAATTATGAACCCATGAGGTTCTATAGGGGCCTTCCTTATACTACTTTGCTGTGGAAATGTAACTGCTGTTTATATTTTAGACACAAATAATTTGAAATGTGCATGAATTTGAGACAATTGAGAGGAATTCAGTGACCACTTGCCCAGCTACTCTGGTATAGACTAGAAATATCCAAGAAGGCTTTGTAGAGGATAGATGGTTTGGAATGTGCCTTGAAGGGTGAGGGAAATTTGCCTGGGTGAAAACTAAGAAGGTGGTGAGCCCTCTCAGCAGAAACATGGCTGTGTGAAGACAGTCACCATGTCACCATCACATGAGTGTAGGGAGTCTACACTCCCTACTGAGCTGACCTTGCCGAGAATCAGTGGGGAAAATGAGGGCAAGCCCGAGACAGGGCAAGACCCAAATTAGACCCTGTGCTCTCAGGTTCTGAACCCTGAGGAGATGAAGCAATAGGAGCCATTGCTAGATTCTTAGAGGGCCTGAAGGGCAGAAGAGCAAGAAGTGGACGGGGCTTTTTTAACAAGTACTGGCCAGTGCTTTAGTGTACTGTCTCTTTAAAGAATAGGAACCAGGAAGGATGTGATCAGTAAGAAGGGTCCTGTTACCTGTTTTCTATCGGTCCATTTCGTGTTTAAATTGCTATCATCAGATAATAGGCAAATGTCTAGTGAGATTTGCTCATAAGTAAAAGACAAGGTGCATTTTTTTATCTCAAATTACAGATAATGCCCAGATTCTCAGAAAGCTGAACAGAGCCTGTCCTTAGAGTAACTATTTCTTAAGGAATATTAGCTATTCATCTTTCTACCCATTAGATCTGGGCCACCTTAAATAAGAATTTTTTCTTTGAAAAATTAGGTCCTATGCCAAATACCTCTTGAAAAAGTCAGAGTCAATAATCTGATTGAACCATTGCTAAACCATTAAAGACAAGGGAATTGTGTACCTCACTAATACTTTCCTTAGTAAATTGTCCCCTTATGTTTTTTATTGGGTTTTGGTAATCTTAAGATTTTTAAGCTTTTGGCTATTTCTCAAAAAAGAATGTACATATACACAAAAGGGAGAAAATTAGAGTTACATCCAAGGTATATTAATATAACACATTTTAATGAAATTATCATACTTTAATCTGCCTTCTGCCATCCCCTCTTCACTTACTGTAATATGATGTAAACATTTTAAATGTTTAAATGTTAGGTAAATACATATAGCTCTAAATGTAATAAACATAATGTAATTCATTAAATGGAGCTACCAGAATTTAAACAATGCTATATTTTTAACACATTGCAATTCTTGATTTTATAATGAGAAGTTGGAAGCAAATAGCTAATAATGTTGTTGGCTGATGTTACTCTTCATACAGTGATAAGAGGCATATGCAGAAGCATGCTTGTGTGGACTTACACTTAATCATTGCATGTAATCATTGCACACAGAACTTTGAGAAACATTTCCTAAAGGAAAGGGAAAACACAAAAGTTATTGGATCAAAGGGGATGAACAATTTGGGGACTTGTACACTGGAACAGGGCAATTTTGCAGTGAAGTCATGAGCAGGTTTGTTTTTGCATTTACCAGTGGGTGTTTCATGCACAGTCTCTTTTATCAAATATGTAATATGTCCATTTTCAAGTAGGCATTCAGAATTCTTTATTATAGATTCCACCGCTTACCTAGGATGGAAATAAGGATCCAGCAGTCCAGTTTCCAGAGGCAATGTCTATCATAGGAGTAAAAATCTAAGACTAAGAGCTGTCTCCTAGATTCTCTACACCATCGAACATGTTCATGTCTAATAATGCCTGCTCGGTGCCTACTTCTTTCTGGCTTACTGGCATCCCAGGGCTAGAGTCCCTGCACCTCTGGCTCTCCATCCCCTTCAGCTCTCTGTACCTGGTGGCTGTGGTGGGAAATGTGACCATCCTGGCAGCAGTAAAGTTGGAACGCAGCCTGCACCAGCCAATGTACTTCTTCCTGTGCATGTTGGCTGTCATTGACTTGGTCCTGTCAACCTCTACTATGCCCAAAATGCTAGCCATCTTCTGGTTCGGTGCCCACAACATTGACCTGGACGCTTGCTTGGCCCAGATGTTCTTTATCCACTGCTTTGCTACCGTAGAATTCCTTGCCATGGCTTTTGATCGCTACGTGGCCATCTGTGACCCACTACACCACACCTCGGTGCTCACCCATGCAATGGTGGGACATCTGGGCCTGGCCGCCCTCCTCCGTGGAGTACTTTACATTGGACCTCTGCCCCTGATGATTCGCCTGAGGCTTCCCCTTTACCGGACCCAAATCATTGCCCACTCCTACTGTGAGCACATGGCCCTGGTCACCTTGGCATACGGTGACACAGCAGTTAACAACTTATATGGAATGGGAATCGGCTTTCTGGTTTTGATCCTGGATTCACTAGCCATTACTGCCTCCTATGTGATGATTTTTAGGGCTGTAATGGGGTTGGCCACCCCTGAGACGAGGCTTAAAACCCCGGGGACATGCAGCTCTCATATTTGTGCTATCCTTGTCTTCTACATCCCCATTGCTGTTTCGTCTCTCACTCACCGATTTGGCCATCGTGTGCCTCCCCATATCCATATCCTTTTGGCCAACTTTTACCTCCTCTTCCCACCTATCCTCAACCCAGTTGTCTATGCTGTCCGCACCAAACAAATTCGAGAGAGACTTCTCCACGTTCTTAAGGCAAGAGCTCAATCCAAGTGACTGTTCTGTACCTGTAGGGCATACAGATACTTAGTGATGGTAGGAAAAGCTCTGACCAGGGAATCCAGTGAAGTAAGACCCATGCCACCAGGTCCTGCCTGAGTTGTGGAGATGAGGGGCTAGCATGTATTCTGTTTGACCATGGATTTCCTCAAAGTGGAAAGGGGAATATCGGAAATTCTTGAAAGGAAAAATCAGGCATGAGTTTTTATATAATATTTTCCTATTTCACTTCACAAAATTAAGCACAATAGACACAAGTATGCAGACCACGGAAGTAGGCTCATTTATCCTTTTGAATTTTTTTGGTAAAGGATTTCTGGTTTCTTTGAGGAAAGCTTTCCACAATTTCTAGAAAGTAAAATTATACTTGAACACTGTGAAGACAGTTTACAACTTCTTTTACTAAAGGTCTGGAAAACAACTGTGTTGGCAGCTTTTCCAATCTTCTTTACTTGCCCCAGAAAAGGTCTTTTGTTAAGGATGGAGGCAGTATAAATGTTGCCCAAACAGTGCCTCTGCAGGACTCCTTACCTGACCCAGACATCCCTTCTAGCTAGGACAGCCGCAGCCCATTGAGTCCTTGGGAATGACCAAATGACAGACTTAGAATACCAATAAACAAAGCAAGGAAGGCAAGCTTCAGTCTACGTTTTAGCAAACATGTTGGAAGTAACCAAAGTTACTTGAATATCATTGCACGTGGTGTTTCGACTGGAATACTTCTGCACCACAGCTGTGCTTGTTACTTCCCTCCATTGTATTTTTTTTCTCAGATGTTTTAATTTTTTCTTATTGTAATTTTCATAGATAAATGTACATTTTAAAAATCTCCAATATTGTGATTTTCACCTCTGAAGGTTTGATTTTGTTATCTTCCGATGCTTCTGTCTAACATACTCTGTCTTTCCTCTAGCCACTTGAATGTACAGAATATATTTATAGCTGTTTAATATCTTCACATGCAAATTTTATCATATGTGCCTGTCGATTTGTTTTGATTGATTTTATTGTGTATATTTTCCTGTTAATTTTGACTGAATGCCAGATTGCTGAGTTTCATGTTTGAGTACTGGACACTTCTGTGTTACATATATCCTTGAGCTTTATTCTAGTACGTGGTTAAGTTGTTAAACAGTTTGATCCTTTCAGATTTTGCTTTTAGATTTTGTTAAGTCAGAACTAGAGAAGCTTTTAGTTTAGGCTTAATTTGTTACCACTACTAAGTAAAAACATTTTTTTTAATCTATCTGATAGACTCTAAGCCATGAGGCTTTCCGCTCTGGCTTGTGGGAACAGAAACTTTATGCATAACCTTGTATGAGTACTAGAGATTGTTTCCTCTAATCTTAAGTGGTCTGTCCTTAGTTTCAAATGATTTCCTCCCATGTAAGCACTGAACAGCACTCAGATAAAGACTGAAGAGCTCCAATGCGTTCGCTGTGTCTTCAGCTGTCTCTTCTCTGGTCCTCTTCCCTATGAACCCTAGTTCCCTTGGATGTTTATGTTTGATATATTTTGGCGGTATCACCTGCATAAAACTGGAAGTCAGATTTGTTTTTAACGTGTATGTGATCACTGAAAGAGTATAAAACAAATCCAAGACCATGGCCAGATCCCGGCATTTCTACCTCCATGAAACAGAACAAAAATCAATGATGACATAAAAACAGGAGTAGTCATCAAAACCTAAGGAAATGTGGAGTTGGATAAAGAGCTGAAGAAATCATGAAGCAACAGACTGTCCACTTACTGTAGAAGCAGAAATCTGAACTTAAACTGTTGAAGATGTCAAAGTTGTGCATATATTGTCTCATAGATTCCAAAGTACCCAATTGTCTAAAACGATTGGTCTGCAAAATAGGGCACAAAGTGTTCTACTCAGGTAAAGAATCTTAAATTTTCATTTGCTATTTTCTTAAGCCTTTTAATATTTACATTATTGTAAATTATTATTTTATAGTATATTAACATAATGGAATGTGATAAGGTACATGTTATTGTATGTATATATGTATATGCTTTATTACATACAAATACAATATGTATATATACATCTTCAATAGTTCCGATTTCTGCTTTTACAGTAAGTATATGGACAATCTATCACTACATGATTTCTTTAGTACTTTACCAACTCCACATTTCCTCAGGCTCCGATGATGACTCCTACTTTTTTTTTACTTACGGAAGTATAGTCCATTGAATTGTGTACAGCATAATGTCCCAGTCATACATATACATAGGTATATACATATGTGTTTCCACATTCCTTTTCATTAAGTTATTATATCTAATTCAGTATTATCTAGGTTGAACTATATTCAATATCTAATACTATATATTGAATATAGTTCCCTTTTCTATACAGAAGAAATTTGGGTTTTATCTATTTTATATATAATAGTTAATATTTACAAATATTAAATTCCCAAACTTATCCCTTCCCACCCCCTTTCCTGCCAGTAATAATAAGATCATTTACTATGTCTGAGAGTCTGTTTGTCTAGTATGAGTTCATTAGTGTCTTTTTTCTTTTCTTAGATTCCACATATAAGTGATTTATGGTATTTTTTTCTCTTTCTGGCTACTTCATTTAGAATGACAATCTCCAGGTCCATCCAAGTTGGTGCAAATGGTATTATTTATGGCTGAGTAGTATTCCAGTGTATAAATATATCACGATTTCTTTATCCAGTCATCTGTCAATAGACATTTAGGTTGTTTCCATGTCTTGGCTATTGTATATAATGCTGCTATGAACACTGGGGTGCATGTATCTTTTCGAATTTGAGTTCCCTCTGGATGTATGCCCAGGAGAGGGATTACTGGATCATATGGTAAGTCTATTTTTAGTTTTTTGAGGAATCTCCGTACTGTTTTCCATAATGGCTGCACCAAACTACATTCCCACCAACAGTGCAGGAGGGTTCTCTTTTCTCCACACCCTCTCTAGTATTTATCAGTTGTGGACTTTTGAATGATGGTCATTCTGACTAGTGTGAGATGATACCTCATTGCAATTTTGATTTGCATTTCTCTGATAACTAGTGATACTGAGTATTTTTTCATGTGCCTGTATAGGCCATTGGTATGTCTTCATTGGAAAATTGCTTGTTTAGGTCTTCTGCCCATTTTGGATTGGGTTGTTTATTTTTCTGTTATTAAGTTGTGTGAGATATTCATATATTCTGGAAATTAAACCTTTGTCAGTTGCATCATTTGCAAATATTTTCTCCCATTCCATAGGTTGTCATTTTCTTCTAGGAAGTTTATAGCATCTTGTCTTATATTTAAGTCTTGAAGCCATTTTGAGTTTATTTTTGTATATGGTGTGAGGGAACTGTCCAGTTTTCCTAACACCACTTGCTGAAGAGACTGTCTTTTCTCCATTATATAGTCTTGCCTCCTTTGTCAAATATTAATTGACCATAGGTCTGTGGGTTTAGTTTTAGGCTCTTTATTCTGTTCCATTGATCTGTTTTTGTGCCAATACCATGCTGTTTTGATTATTATAGCTCTGTAGTATTGTCTGAAGCCTGGGAGGGTTATTCCTGTACCTTCAGTCTTTTTCTTCAGTACTGCTTTGGCAATTCTGGGTCTTTTGTGCTTCCATATAATTTTTAGGATTATCTGTTCCAGTCTGTGAAAAATGTCACGCATAATTTGATAGGGATCACATTAAATCTGTAGATTGCCTTGGGCAGTGTGGCCATTGTAATAATATTGATTCTTCCAATCTAAGAGTATGGGATACTAACTCCAACCCAGTGGGTGGGGCCTTACCAGTATCTGCTAGTAACTCATTCACATGTATTAAATTGGCAGGAGTCAAGCTGTGGGCCCATCACATGAGTGAAGCTGGCTCCTGATCCAACTACAAATCTATAGTGTTCCACAGTTATAAAGAAAACATCGACATTAGCTAAAAGTCAGTACTCCTGCAAGTCTGTAAGGGGGCTCTAGTTAAAATTAAAATATCTTAGATAAGTAATGAATGACTCATAGCAATTCATAATAGTATTTTTCTGGTATTTGTTTGTCTCTACTTTATTCTTGTTAATCATTTATCTGATAGTATGGTCATAAAACTTGTTTTTGTCATGATATTGATAGGAGGCACTTAATGCCGGTTCTAAATTAACCCTTGTAATAATGTTAGTTCCAAAATTTAGAGTCACCACTGTTTTCTCATGTAAGCTGCTGGCCCTGAGTGAAACAATGGCTCTTGTTTTTCTTTACTGTCTCATCTCACTGGTGTCTGCTGCTTCCTGGAATGAAAATACTCATAACTATGTTGTCTCAGTGTAGCCAGAGGTGGAAATTTAAGTGGTTGTTGGATATGTCATATGATCCCTCAAGCCGTTCATGAACAAAATCTCCCATCAGTGGTCCTGACAATTCATTTTGATACTGCAGCAGACCCCATGACCTCCTATAATCTTTTTCCTTCAAACCTCACATTCCTAATTCAGATAGTCAGGGGACCTCAGCATATCCCAGTCCCTTGCTTCAACCTGTCTGAGGTAGTATCCATCTCAGGGGAAGTTACTCCTGGGCCTCTGCAGTCCCTTGCATTTCTCGTGAGAAAATGTGATGCCCCCAAATCCCCTGAAATGTACAACTGACAGATGGGTAAGGGCTAAAAATAACGTCACTTTATGCCAGAGAGCCAAGCAAGTTGGACATCATATAAACTATGGAAGGCTTGCAATGTCTCTTGCCCCTGGCTTGATAAATTCGGAACTCTCCAAAAAGGACCCCAAAAGAATTTCTGAACTTCCCCAGAAGTGACACTATCCTGGGAGGTATAACCTGCACCCCTCCAGGTTATATCTTTGTGGTACAGGGAGTGACTCGCCAACATGAGGATGGGCACATGACTGCTTAGATAGCTGGCAAATTGAAGGGTCATGCCTGCTGGGACACGGTATAACCCCTCTTCTCCTGCACAGCCCAGAGAACCGCACTTCTTTCTCTAAATCAAACCCCTACCTTAT